CGTTGGTGGTAAGTCGGGGCGTGTGGATGTTCCTTTGGCCGTGTTTGTCTGTCCTGCACAAAAATGGGTAACTGTGGGACGCATTCCTCCGCAGTCGATGAAGTTGAAGAGGCCAACCAGTATCCAGAGCTGTCACTTGAACAGCTTGATCACCTAAGCTTAGATCTTCAAAACAATCTTGTCAAGTACGGAACAAAATATTTGGGTCCATGCAAACCATCCCTTCATGGCGCAGCCACAGATCCTTCTTTTGATCAGATTTCCAACGCAGACATGCCGTGTGATGCTCCGAGCGCGCGTTCTACAACGCCAAGTTCCGGCATCCGACCAAAAAGTTATGTTAAATGTCCCAGCTTGGATGAATCCAGAGCCCACGGTTCCTCTTCCCCCATTAGTTACGGCGGAGGTGGCAGCATTAGCAGTGAGAGACGTCACCAACTTGAGCAGCGACCCAATTCAGCTTCTCATCTTCTGCGATATGGTCTCAACCACGTCAACAACAACAGCAGCAATCACTCTCCAAGCGCTAACTCATGCTGCCCACCAAATGAACAGCGGAATCCCCGCCCTTCACCTACTGTCAAGCAAATGCAACACTGTGTATCCAGCAACACCGAGAAGTATTCGCAAAAACTAACTCCCAAACCGGTTCACCAGAAATACCTAGTTCACCATTCCCTTGGCAAAAACTCTAGCAAATACTTTGTCGCAATTTTTGACTATAAGGCACGCTGTGAAGGGGATCTAACCGTTCACAAGGGTGATGCTGTCGTTATGCTCGATCGCAGGTGGGTTTCATGTTAGCCTTTCTTATCCGGCTGATTATTTTAGGGAGGTACATATGAGATAGAAACTAGCAAAGTTCAGTGTTCTTTAATAAAAGTAACTGTAATTTTCTCAAGGCTATCATTTACCCTAATTTGAAACTCCCAGGACTGCTAACTACTCGATATAATTATTTTAGTCGTAGGAATGTGAGGTCAAACAGATAGTATACACATTTGTCTTTTACTTTTTGGAGGCTGTTTTCCTTACCTAATGACTAACGTTTTATGTTTTCGTATTTTGTGTTCTAGTGTGTCCATTATTTGCGTTAGGCTCAGGCGATAATTTACTACCCTTCCCTTTTCCCCCGTTCCCACCATCTGCAACGCATCACTATTCATTTTTGACAAGCCGCATGCGTGTACACGATTGTGTGCGTGTGTGTGTACGCATATATTGGTGCGGTGTTCTTATTTTAAAACCTCGGGGTTTGGCACAGGATCGCACATTACAGTCTTCTTCGTCCTTGGATTTGTTCTGCTGATTGGCCACCTCAAGGTCTTTCACCATGCTGCGGTCAATGATGTGCGAGTGTTTGGCTCTCCTGAAATACCTTTCATGCGTCCATATAAAAAATTCCAGTACCAAATAGGCGCCTCTTGATTTATTCACTAGGGCAATTACTACTGAATTGTTGTTTCTCCTTTCAGTGATACGGATTGGTGGTTGGTTGAGAACGCAACAACCCACCAGCATGGCTACGTGCCCTCGGCCTACCTAGCGGAGGAGAACTCAATTGAGGTCTTTGAGTAAGTGCGATTCCCCTGTTCATTCGCTTGCCAAATGGGCGTGTCTTCCGCCCTCTATTTCCTGCAATGTTTCTACGTATCATGGGCAAAAAAACAAGTCAAAAAATGGTCTCTTTCTTTCCCTCTTTTGGACTTGTATTTACTTATGACCAGTCTGTTCTATCCTTTTTTTTCATTCCGCCCTGTGGAAGAGAAATGGTCGTCTCCCTTTGGTTTTATCGCCCAGTGGGCATACATCTAATGCACATGCACACAGTGGTGTTTTATCACTGGATCATTATGCTCTTTTAGTGGGGTAAAACAAACAATTTTGCAATATTTACTAGGCTCTCTACTGTTCCTCCCTCATGTCTAGTAAGGCGGTCTCTCCCACTCCGCTATTCCCTTTTGGATCGTTGTCCTAAAGGGCTGTGTGGATTAAGCCCCCCCCTTCTCATCTCCATCTTCCAACTGTCACAGGGGCAGATTGAGCCGTTTTGGTGGTGGTCATTGTGTCCACACAGCAGTTTGGCCCACTTGTCAGGACGCGCCGCCTCCACAGCCAATAATTAAATTCAATTGTGCTCAGTCCCATCCTGTTCTACCCGTGTTCTGTACCGTTCTACACTCTTGTGTCCTCGCATCAGGCCTCTTGTGTGCACATGACAGCAACATCCGTGTGTATGTTCGTGCACGCGAGCGATGAACGCTGAATTTGTCCTCATCGTCGTTTTATCCTGGAGTCTTTCTAGCTGATACACACGTGACAGCTTCAATGGAAACATCAACGATTCCACTTTGTGTAACATGTTTGCTACCAGGAGGCCAAAGGCAGACCGATTGCCACCACCACTCAGATCCTTTATTGTTCTAACATTGCTGAAAAAACCAAAAGTGTGTTAGTAACGCATGATTTGGTCCCACCACTGTGGTCATCGCAAACTGATAGCGAACACGTCATGTGTGACGCTGGTACCGAACAGGAGGAGGGGGTTACGACCGGTTTGTTTAGATAAAACGAAGAACATGGGAGGAAGGGGGGTCGTGTGCGTGTTTGGCTACTTTAAATAGTAACTTCTCCAGGATTTCAGTCCGTTTCTGAGACACCAGCATTTAGGTAAACCTTTTTTGCTTTAATAGATGGTACTTCCGAGAGATATCCAGAAAGGATTCGGAGCGACTTCTTGTGCAACAAGGCAATCCCACCGGCACATTCCTTGTCCGACCCAGTGAAACTACTCGTGGTACGTATTCATTCATTTCTCTTTTTTTTCATAAATCAACAATGTTTCACCAAATCGGCCATCTAAATAATAGGATCATCAGTAACATTTTGGTAGTTTTCAGGCAGTTCCTATCTTCCGCCTCTCCCTCTCCCTCCTGTCAAGCATGTCTAATTTGTTTTTTTCCTACAATTAGTGCCCTATATGACCCATTATAGTTTGATTGACGTCTAAACGAACGTGACCTTTTTTGCGAACTTGGTTGATTCACTTCTTTGTGACCTTTTCGGTCTAGTAGTTTGCCCTTACCATCTCGGCAATTAAGATCGTCAGTAAACATCGCTGATTATTGAAACTGCCTCCCCCAGTTAACACGTTAGCTGCCAAAGTGTCGGAGGAAAAGTGACCACTCCAGCCAAATTGGAGCAATAATCGGGACGTCCGATACATTCACGAAGCTTTCCCCAGGCCATATTCTCCTCCCCTTCTTCCTCTACTTTGATCAAATCGTGCAGATGAGAAAGTGCTGGACAGAAAAAGCAGCACTCCACATACGCACACACACGCTCGACCGCCCCTCATCGAAACAACTGTTGGCGAGTGTCAAATCCCGCCCCCAGTAAAGCGCCTGAGCTAGGAAGAAGTACTCTCTCTCTCATACTGTCTCTTTTTTTCGGCTCGCTTGTTAATATTTATTCCTCTCCTCCACCCCTCTGCAGTACGAAACGCGTTCTTTGACCCGCCGCGCGCTGCCCTCTGACAGTTGTTGCCCCTGCGTGACTCATTTCCGTGTGTGTTGGGATGGGGTGAGACGGTCCCACGTTTTATTAGAACGATCAAATGTGCTTTTTTGGCTCGCACTTTGGCCTTATAAATCATTTCCTGCGTTGCTACTGCCATTGCGTCCTTTTCCTGCCAAGACGTAAACATCCAATGGGGCGAATTTTGAGACCCACTCATCTTCATCTCTGCCTTATTCGGTACTCTGTTGCATCTATTGCCATATCTCTTGCTTCCTCTGTTCTGTGGGTCCGTGTGTGTCCCGGTTTCTAAGTCTAGCAAGGCACGCAATCGCATACATACACATACACACACACCTGTTTCGTGTGGGATCCTGGTAATCGGACAGGTTGGATACTTTCTCACAGCCTCTAGCTTAGCGAAGCCTTGGCCACTGGCCAAGGCGGTCGCTGCGGTAGGTTTGGGTCCACATGTTCGCGATTTTCTACAGCTCGATTCGCTCCGCCTCAATCCCCTTGTAAAAGCGGGCGTTTTGCCGCACCATCTCGTGTCAGTTTACTGGCCTTCCCTTCATCTTCCTGTGTTCGATTGCCTAACCATCGCAGTTGCTGCGGCAACATAAAAAAGCGGGCAAATCTAGCCATTTGTAAGGATAATTAGTTGACTCTTAGCGTTTGCCAAATCCATAAAAAATACGCCTTCTGATAGCCGGAGATGGGCATTGTTAAAGAAGGCAGGAAATAGTGAATTGAAGTTGAAATCGGTTTGTAAATTTGGCACCTTTTTAAACGAAGTTCTTTCCGTTTTTACCTAGTCGTGGAAGTGTTACCGGTACCTCCACGTTGTCTGCATTTCTTCAAATTGCTGCGTCGCATGTTTGTGACGTGCGGGCTCAAGTGAGAAAACACTCATGCAGCTGGACCTATCGCATATAAATGTGATAATTTGTGTTATTGTGAAATCCATCTGAGATCAGGTACAGACGTATCCCTAAAGGTCCTGAAGAATAATGTAATAGTTGTTTTGAAGCTGTGCTCCAAGAATGAGACTCCCTTGATGTTGAAGCCATCGAAGTCTTGGCACCAACAGTGGTTGTAACCTGGCACGAGTGGACTACTTTGTCCTCCCCCAATCCTTCTTATGCGGAACCTTTTTTTCCCCGATTTCTCTTCCACATCCTTTTCCCCCTCTCCCTCCACCGGTAGTTCCAACAGGCGGGAGAAATGTCAGGCGGCATTCTGTACGTGTACACTTCTTTCTCACGAATGAAAATAAACCCAAGGTGAGCGTGTGTGTGCGGGTGCGTCGATTTATTAGGCTTGCGTGGTCGGTCGGAGTGGGGCGGAGTGGGGGGTGGAGTGAGTGATTGGCTCCGCACCACGCGTAGCCTGTCAAAACACCGCTCTCATCCGCTCACTCACTCTGACGTCTGTCCAACGGCCAGGCTACTCGTAGGCTTGCGAGCATGCCTTTAGCATGCTTATATTAGTGCCGCTACTACTGTGCCCTGCCCGGCCTCTTTGAAAACTGTTGTAAGACGTTTTGCAGAAAAAGGTGCCACAAGTGTCTAAAGTTGGGCCAGAAATAAAGCTTCAAGGCCTAAAAGGAGTAGTTGTAAGTTCAAATCCTTTTGCAAACGTTGACCTTGGTGCTCGCCGCCCTCATTCTTTTACGCCGGCCATCGTAACGTAGTTAGCGCCTTAAAAATTACCCCCAAATCTCAAGCCCCGACTGTCCTACACCGAAAGTACCTAATTGATCCATCTCGTCAATTTCGGTGGATCTGAGGTTGCGGCTTGTTGGCACATTGGAAATGTGGAGATCCGCTGCTAGAGGGGATTCCATGCTCTTCGATCGCTTCTCGGAGGAATATCTGCCTGCGAGCAAAACCTGTGACCTATTACGAGTCTGTGCCGATTCAGGCCTTCACTGCAAGTGTTTTCTTCCACGACATATGGATTTGGTAGTTACCAGACAAAATCGAGATGGCTTCCCACTCATTTTGGGTTGTGCTACCACTGGAACTAAGGGCTACAATTAGAGGTGACATTGACCTTATTTCTACACCGCCGAGCCAGTGTAGCTGAATGCAAGGCTTTCCAGTGCGTCCAGAAGGTGAGTGCGCGAGGACTTCATTATCATCCTACTTGCCAATGACCATTGGATTAGTTTGTGTGCTTAATTAATCACTCTCACAAAACGTGGCGGTTAAAAAAGTTTGGCCCAGGGAGATCTCTGGCCTCCAAATTTGGCCTTAGCGTGGATGTGCTGTTGACCTTTCCGCGTGGTGTTGGTGAAAAAGCCTCGACTTAGTGCATTCAACCGGCCGGTCTCGCGCCGCGGCAAAGAATGACGCGCGCATGAGAGAGAGAGAGAGCGAGTGGACTAATCCTGTTCGGGGACACAGGAGGGCGACCCTGCCCCCACCTCGGCTTTATTTGCATGCGTTTCGCTTCACTTCGCTTGGCGCTGCCAACTGGCACACACACACATGTGCGAGAGCTCGGGAGCTAGAGAAAGGAGCGAGGGGGAGGGAGGAGAGGAGGGTTTTTGCACGCATCGTGCACGCTCCCTCCCTCTCCTACATCACATCTATACATGCCTATCGATGCACCGTGGAAATGAACACCCGTATCACTCTCCCTTTCTCTTTTCCTATAAGTGAATTTTATTTCTACCAAGCTGAAGACCCGTGAATGAGTGCCCGCACTTTTGATTTCTCGTTCTTGATACCCTCCTTTGAAGCCTGAAGGTCATTAACACGTTTTTCAATCTGGACCTTCTACGTGACAAATGTGACCACTGGTTGCAGTAGAGGCGACAAGCTTCCTCTAGGTCTCTTAATGAATGTGGAGGAGGAGGTAGTAGTAAGATTAATGACTCCCCCCATTTGTATCCAATCGCTTCCATCTATACAACCTTTTGGATTTTCTGTTTGCTGAAGATCCCATCTACCATCCCATTTGTTACAGCTTCCCACCAGAGCCTCCTTGAACCATGCATTTGTCTTGCATTAAATAGTCTTCAGGCCTTTGTTGCATAACCCCAACCTGTTGGGTTTAAAAGTCGCTCCTTGTCATTATTCTGCTGTCCAATCTTCCATATTCGACGCGATATTTATTTGACAGTCGGTGTGACAGCGACGAGACTGTTTGTGCTTAACTTTTTCTGGCCTATTTTACACTACCACCACCCTCAAACGGCCCTGTTGGGGTGGTATGCATGTACGACTGGTTGGTCTATCTTTTTTTCCTATAGCCCCCGGAGAGATTTAGGAATGGACAACAACAAGAGGGAGGATGGGGCGAGGGAGAGTGGTGAATAAATGAATTACACGACTTTTTATGCGGATAGTGTGGTGATGATGATGGCTGACGGCCCCAAAGTACCCAGCCTATCTATGCTGACCCCAATTATTGCCACACAGACACACAAACAAGGTACATGTTGCGTATGTCCATACTTACCTCCAGCCCTGTGTGCGTGTGTGTCTGAAAATCGCGACGACAGTCTTTCATCAGTTCCGCTGCAACCAATCGGCAGTGTGTAATCATTCGTCTTCTTTGGTCCCCAGTCCCGTCCTTTTCATGGCTTCGAGAGGGAATAGGTCGCCCTTTCTCCACTCACACTTTATTGGTGGAAGTGGTTGTGACTTCGGTGTCTCTTCTATCGAGTCTCCATCCGTAGCAGGTTTGACGCTTAGGCTTCGAATTCAGCCAATAGAATGAGGGCTCCTGTTCATTTGCATTGTTCCTAACCATGTGGCTCATTGAGTCATCTTTGTAGATTCTGTAAAGTGTACAAATTGATTGAAATTAGTTTGGGGTGAGATCAAGCTAAAATTGTTCTTTTTTCTGTAGGTGGGCTTTCACTCTCAGTGCGAGACTACGATCCCAGCGTGGGAGCAGTGGTGTGTCACTTCAAAATCAAACATCATCCTCCGAGCGGGGGGATCTGCATCACCTCGACGTTAGTCTTTCCGAATCTTGTGGACCTGATCAATCACTACACCTCACATGCTGATGGACTGTGCTGCCGTCTCACTCAACCCTACCCACGACCTCCACCCTTCCTTTCGGATCTCTCGCGAAGAACTAAAGACGATTGGGAGATTCCACGCTCCTCCCTTGTCCTCCAGGAACGTCTTGGCGCCGGCCAATTCGGTGAGGTGTGGCGCGGTAAGTCCTTGTCACGACGTCAATAGTAGCTGTCGCTCTCTTTCCACGAAATATTGTCTATCCCTTTCCCTTCTTTTTTCATTTCTTTAAAGGTGAATGGAAGGGCACCACTCCGGTAGCCATTAAGACTCTCAAGGAGGGCACCATGACCAAAGAGGACTTCTTGAAGGAGGCGCGGATTATGAAGACTCTTAGTCACCCGCATTTAGTGCGCCTGTTTGCAGTGGTCACCACCGAGCCCATCTACATCGTCACTGAGTTGATGCCCAATGGCAGTCTCCTCGCCTTTCTTCGATCCGATGTCGACAAGACCCTCGGGTTGAAGGAGCTCGTTGATTTTATGTCACAGGTAGGTTTGTACCAAGTGTCCATTGATTCGGGCATTCACAGCATTGCCTTGCCTGATGCTCTGGTTTCGTACTCCGAATGGAAGGTCTTGATGGTATAGGCATGGGTAGAAAGCCATAGGACCAAGAGATGTGGTGCCTCAAATCCACAAGGGATCAAAAACCGTTTTCTTCCGTAGATCGCTACTGGGATGGCCTATCTGGAGGAAAAGTGCCTAGTCCATCGTGATCTCGCTGCGCGGAATGTTCTCGTTGGTGATAACAACATTGTGAAGATCGCGGATTTCGGTCTGACTCGTGCCATTGATACCACCACTGAGGCATACACCGCCAAGCAGGTAAGTTTCGAAGTCACTCAGTTCGGTTGTGGTGGTAGTTTAATTGTAGCACACTCTTTGGGTGTCGCTACTCTGTCTACGTACAAATAGGATCCCTCCAACGTAAACACTTACGGGCGTCGGTCAAGATTCCCCCCTCTCATAGGAATGGATATTTGGCAGGGCCTTCTATGCATGAATAAACGTCCCATATTGTGTTGTGTTGCACCGTACTGCACTGTGACGACTCCATTGTTCGTGGGAGTGAGTTTTTCAATGTCCTTCTGGGCTGGCAGCGGTCCGTCCACTTGTTTTTTTTGCACCGCTTCATCCCCTGTGGATTAAGTGGGATGTTCCGGTCCATCTGAGACTTTCGCGTCTACACAAAGAAAGCAATCCACTTTAGGGGGTGGGAAATAAGTTCACATTTTCGCCAGCAGTACTCACCCCTCCAGCTTCGGTGCTGATACATCTGTTTGCCCTATTGTAATATTCGTCATCGGTGCTGGAATGGTTATGTTCAGTCCGCTTGCTTCCACTGCTTTTGAAGCTTGTTTTAATTCAAAATCGTGTCCTTCCCCAACGTGCTACACCAGCCCTTCAGCCCTCGTCAGATGTGGAAAGCTGCCTTGGTGTCCAGCGTCCGCTGTTGTGCTTACCATTGGCACAGAAAAATTTGTCTTTTGTGAACCCTTGACCTTCAACTCGCTAAGTAAATTTTAATTCGCAGGAATGACTGTCGAGGCTGTGGGCTAAGAACCATCACGGTCAGGCTCATGGCTAGCAGATGTGTGGGTGGCCGTCTTTGAAATGTTGACATTATTCAAATGTATTAACTTGGAACCCTCGTTTAAGCATTTTCTTCACTGACCGCTGTTCTTTGAACATATCGCTATTGATGGATATCATCTTGATTAAGGGTGTTTGGATTGAACTGATTCACACCTCAATAGGACACGCTTGTCACTTCCCCCTGCGTGTACCAGTCTGTATATTCAGCAGTCGCGGTTTGATATGAACGGCCACGAGCCGTTGAGGGACTAAGAAGAGCGGCAATTGATGGCTACACATTCATCCTGCTCCGCGTGGCGTAGATAAGGTCGGTGTAGAATTCCAGTATACGTGGATTTGAAAGCAGTTCTCCTCTGTTGTGTGTTAGAGATTGTATCAGCCTCCTCGAGATCAAATTTTAGTACTATGGTTTTTCGAAAGACAACACACTGATCTCCTGGCACTGGAAAATCTTGACATTACCTAGGGGCACATAACTGCCTGTGAAGAGAGTCCACGGTAGGGGAGAATTTTTGCGTCTGGACTGGTTCACAGTTGAATTGAGAAGTTTGGAACCGCCCAAGCTGGTGTGATAGGTGTAGGGCAGTCAGCCAGCTGTAGTCAAGGCGAAATAATCACTGAGGATAAGAATGTGGTTGTTGTATTTGTCTGCAGGTGTCTGCTTCAGTGTCTGGTATGTATAAGGGCTACCAAATCAGAGACATTTTTTATTCTAACTTGTAGGGAGCCAAGTTCCCGATCAAGTGGACAGCTCCAGAGGCGGCGTACAGGGGGCAGTTCACCATTAAATCGGACGTTTGGTCCTTCGGAGTGGTGATGTACGAAATCATAACTCACGGTCAGGAGCCCTTCCCTTCAATGAGTACCATGGAGACGCTTGATCAGGTGAACAACGGCTACCGTATGCCTTGTCCCCAGAACTGTCCAGCGGCCATTTACGAGGTGATGCTACACACCTGGGATGCCACGCCTGATCTACGACCAACTTTTGTCCTTCTCTGCGAATTTTTTGAAACCTTTGTTGTGGCCGATCCGCACCCCATAGAACCGGAGGCCGCAACAATAGATTCAAGAACAGGTGCGCTCGCCTCTGAACCCTGTAAGCGACGACCCGGGTACCCCTACGTTGGTTCGCCCGCCCGCTTTACGCCTGTCTAGTCACGACCAACTCTCATGTCTCCCTCCTATTACCCGAGGTCTTTCAGGTATTCTCGCCGGCTCTCTCTCCCCTGCCCTCTGTTGGCGAGACCTACTGATTATAATGGTGCTTAAATGACTCTTGACCCTTTCGGAATTGTCGAAAGCAATCAGTACTTCCTTTTTTTGTAAATCTATGGCTTTTTAATGCCTAGCCAATGAATCTATCGTAGACTACCTTGTGGGTTGGCCTTTTTCCATTGTCGGGTCAGTGATATCGGGATTTTTTGTACTGGGTTTGCTTGCCGCTACCGGCAGTGTGGAACTCAAGTCCCACCTGGAGGTGCCAGAATGGTTGGCTCTTATTAGGGGCTGGTAGGGTGTCCGCAAAAGTAGCTAGAACGTGATCCCACGCCAATATGATAGCACCGCGAACCCACGAAGACTACAGCGTTCGCTTATTTGAATACGTAATTGAAACCCCTACCATCCTGAGCAGTGCCGTGTCTTAAAACGAAGGTGGTACCTGTCTAAGGGAGTGCAGTACTGGGCGCCGTGCCACAATTTGGCATTGCGCCAGGCCTTGTGCAGGCTGTTTTTGCGCAAAGGCTATATAAACACACACACACACACGCGAACGTAAGCGATAGCGCATTTCAATGCCAACACCTCCGCAATCTACCGTCGATTGTATTTCAAGTCGCGGCGGTGGTAGTACGCGTGCGCGTCCCACACGTTAGACTGACGTCAGCTTCCCTTCCTACGCCTTCGTGCATGCCATTCGGCCCGCCATCCTGACGGCAGGTTTGCGGACACTTGAACTGCCAAGACAAAGGCCCTGTTTAAATAACGCTAGCGACTATTGAAGGACCCCTTTCTTGCATATTTGCATCAGCTTTTAGTGATACTTTGCCCCATCGCATGGGACGTTTTGAGGGCGGTTCAGGTGTCCTCACCCCTTGTTGTATATCCACGGTAATAGCAGCGTGGAGGGAAAGTATTGTTAATTTGTTTCATTTTGGCCAATATTTATGCGTAGCCTAGGGGATAACAGACCCCTAGTGTTTCGAGATCGACTGACTCTTTGTGAACCACTGTACCTACCAATGGTGACAGCAAACATGACCCTGTTGGGAAATTGACTACATGCTCTCCTCAGCGTGTCCAGGCGGATAAATTCGCAAGTAAAACGAGCCTCCTTCAACACCTTCCACTCGGAAGTCTGAACCCCTTAAATGCTTCACTGAATTATGGCTAGCCACAAATGCAGATATGACTCGGACACCAATAAAGTAAGTAATATGATAAGGCTGGCTGTAAATGCAGCCCATGAATTTTTCAAATGACGTCACCTCGTCATACAAATGTTTTGGATATCCCTCGATATTTATGGCACTACTGTTTGTAGGTAAGGTTTTGGTCAAACTTGGGAACTTAACTGCCTTCAACCTTCGTGGTCTTCAGTCACCATCCTTACATGCATCTTTAAAAAATTTCTACCCAGAGCCACAAATTTTACACAGCTTTTAGGGAGGAATGGGGCTTGTCGCACTTCAAACATGACTGACATCTCGATGTGAAAACGTGACAAAAGATTTACCCCTTCTGAGACGCAAACCGGAGAAGTAAAGCCACGTCATTTGAAACCGATCAAACTGACTGTTTATGGTCTCTCCTGGCCTCGGCCATTAATCACCATCCCATGGGGGTAGGGGGGGGGTGAGAAGGGGCGAAGGCGAGGGGATCCACACACGCGCGCACGTCCCGCCGACTAGTAGCGAGTTCTTTGACGTCATCACGGACTCGGGATCGTCATTGTCTGCATGCGCCTGCCAAATGTGGCGAGAGGGGAGGGGAAACGGCCAAGGAGGTGACGGAGTTAAACCCATCTACGAAAAACTATGGCAATTACGATAGCAATGGTCCAGGCTATATTCGTAGCCATGGCTCCAATGAATGGGGCATTGGAAAAAAAGCCTCAAGCTAAATCAGTGGACTGGAATCGTTGTTACCATGACTTCGGAAATTCTTGGTCTAAGCCAGTCCCATTGGCAGGTTCCTCATTATTCTATTGGCCACCTAACGGCCAAATTTAGCTGATCGTAATAGAGAGGTGAACTGGCAACCATTCTCTCAACCGCCTACACAATAACGATGTCCAGGGGTTGATGATACTGTTTCGGTAGACGAAAGTAAGTCAGGTAGTCGTGGCAGGCAGCTGTTTTATTCTAACTGTACAGCAACATAAAAATGGCCTTTCATAATAGAAGAGGGATGACGTGTATCTCCTCCAGTTGGATGAATGACATTTTGTAACTTGGCATCTTGACAGTTCCAAACAAATCGTTCGCACCTACTGGTATTTCTAGCTGTGAGGCTGTTGCCCACCTTTCGTGCCAATTCAATTCATTCTAAAGTCTAAAGCCGCTTTTTTCCATTAAAACATTAAAAAGTATTGCTTGAAACATCTGTTATTTGCCATATGCAGCAGTTATTATCGTGCTTAGCCAAGTTTAGGCCGAAAGAGGGAGGGAGGGAGGTTCCTCTTCCCTCCCGTCAAACAGAGGCGAATAAAAAAGAAGAGGCGGATGCGTGAAAACCGGACCGAGAATGAAACATGCATACATTTTCTTTTTTTCCTCAATAGTAGGAGGAGAATGAATGGCAGCGGAACAAGTATCTGGCGCAAGGCAGATGTAAATGTTGGCATGATTAGTGCAGACCTGAAACTGTCAAAACTGCTTCGGCGGCTGCCATTACCACCAGGGGCATTTTTAATTGGACAAGAAGGGAAAACAATTTCCTGGACTTTGTAAAGACATCAAGTCTACATTTGACTTAAATAAATAGTCCGAGGAAAGCATAGGGTTGCCAAATATTGACGTATTTGCTGTCACCGTCACCCATGTGATGGGCCGACGCGTCAAAAATACGTGACAAGTTCTTCTTACCATGTGATTGGCTGAATTGAGGACAACAAAAGCGGTGTGGGAGGCTCTTGGATTGAAGAACAATGGACGTAGTCATTTCAGTGGTTCAATTGTTGCTGTAATGCGAGATCAGAAAAACTGGGAGCTGTGGTGGTCGATTTGCCCTTCCCACCTTGGTAGTGAACGGACTAAACATCTCGACATCCACAATGCTCCAGGTTGTCACTGAAGATATACCAACTGAAGGGATAAGCGGCTGTATTGTCAAAAATACACTCGTACAAAAGCCAATTAACAAAGTAGCCCCTTTCTTCTTTCTAGTGACATACCTGGCGCTCCCGGCGGTCACTCTCCCCTCAGTCGTGACATCTCTTCCAGTGAACCTCAGTCAACCAGGACAGGGACGATGATGACACGAAGAACACTCCAAATAGGGGAAGTACTTCCTACAAGTGGAGGCAGCAGTGCTAAAGACTGGATAATGCTCTGCTGTGCGATCACTCTGGGTGCTAATAGCTTGGCTAAGAGCGACGGGAGGAGGGGGTATCAGAAGCACGCAGTCGCCTTTGCTGAATTCGATGTTATTTCAACCCACCTGTTGTGTGTCGCGGATGTGAATACCAGCTAACGAAATTGGGAATCCCATACACTTGGATCGGGTACGCCCACGCCTACCACCGATCTGGTGCACGGAGTCATCGTGGAAGTCGCAACAGCGTAAATAAATAGGGGTGAAAGGTTTATCGTCAAGCTAGTCATCATTGTTGAAACTTGAATGCGATGTCAACTAGGCTGACAAGGCAAGTAAATGAGATGCGGTCTCAATAAGGTCCGCGGATTACCAAAGATTGTCCTCCAAACCAGAAGGATAACCCATCAGACCTCGCTTCATCCTCCGTATTTCAGTGCATGACGGAATGAGTGCGGATAAAAAAGTGGGGTCAAACCGAAGGTGGCCAGGGCTAGTTACTTATTTAAAGAGACAAAGCATTGCATAGACAGGGATTTCACTGCCAGATTGTCTTGTTGAGTAGGATCAAGCAGGGAGTTGGTGCGTTGCCATGGTCCTCGGACCATGGCTATGGTTTTCAGCTTCTCCCTATGTCGGCAAAAACCCTTCTTCAATACTGGCGCGCCCTGTTATGGCTCCAGTAGAGATTGGAGATACTGCAAGTTCATGGTTGTGATTTCTTTCTGCATGGAGGCTTTCACGAATTGTCCGTTTGATATAGTCACATTTCTCACCTTAACACATCTCCAAACGTTGGCACCAATGTCTTCTCTTCAATAACAACAACGACACTAAAGCATAATTTTCCACGATCGAGAAAAGGTCTGCCCAAAGTTGATACATCCAACTCTGAGTGATTCATCATCGCAATCACACATTGTGCAAGCCATTTCCGGATGATGCGTTCTGCTAGTGAGCCTTCTCCAATTTCTGCAGAAGAGGATGTAAGAGAAGCTTCTACATCTTCAAAGTTGAGCTAAAGCAGACGAGTACCAAGAACACAGAGTTCAGCCGAAACGGGCGAGTGGTGGAGAACACAATAAAGACTCATGTAAATCTATAATCACACGTGATTGACAGGCCCCTTCGTCTACATTTTGGAAGAAGTCCTTGCCGTGCGTTCCACCTCAAGTTACACGTACTTTTAGGCTATCTTAATACCACCTAGATCCTCACTGAAGGGTTGTGTCGGTGAGCTCTTAACAGAGCCAACATGAACAAAACGTTTCAACACCGAACCTCCACCCCTCCCCCCCAACTTTGTCTTGGTGGTAGAAAGCCGGATGGACAAAAAGACCTCCGGTTCCAGAAAAAGACTCGTGTAAAGCAGAAAATTCTTGTCCGATTATTGACTAATTTATCACCATCCGACTAATGAATAAGCGTTCACTAAAGGAAGGCAGGCAGGCAGGAAGGTTATACACACCCATGCACAGACACACACACACACACACACACCATCAGCGATCATTGTTTATAATTGAAATGGTGAAAAATGACATCAGTGTGGGACCAGTGAATCATTCAGCGAGGGAGACACACTTCAGCCTCATGACGACGTCTTGAGTCAACAACGCAGAGATCTTTCCAAATGTGTGGCACACCCACCAGTTTACAGAATAAGTTTAAAACAAAGGAGATCGGAGATGCTCTTCATCTAAGGATAATTTATATTTTCCAGCCTAAACTGTTAGACCAGTAGTGCAGGCGTGGGTCGTGATGTCAACTTGGTTGCTAGCGTGACAAAATAAGTGAATCCCAGCGGCTGAAACGACTAAACAAATTGCTGCGATCAGTTGAAACGACAATCGAGTGTTCTGCTAAGGCTATAGCATTACCTCTAAGTATCCGAGGAAAATGCGTAATGTTCCACACCATTGACGGGTTGGCCATGGCAACCACTCTATTATTATCGATATCTTCTCTATCGTATAAACAAACCACAATAATTCTTATTTCTCTTTTCTACTTTTACATAGAACAATAACGGAAACCATTTGCTTACTTTGTGGGATTAGCTGCCGTTTCCGGCTACCACTCCAGTGGCAAAGCACTCTACTCTTGTTACTTCTGTTGGCAGTCTACTGCCCGGGAGATACACTGGTGCTGGGAGTAAGCGAACCCGATCGCAGCGATCGGCAGTCCCGATTTCCTCTCATGGATGCCAAATTCAACCGTCGCCGAAGAAAGACATTCCTGTAGATTGCCGCATTTACGAAGAACCACAACAGAAAAACCAACTTTTGAAAGCATGTCAAAATCGTATTCTACTCTTTAATGCAAACCTTTCATTCCTCCGCGTTTCAATCACTGTTTTCACTGCATAAGTTCTGTCGGGTTCAAAAAACTCTACCAACTTCGGGGAGGATTTGACCATAACGTTAAAGTGCTTAGAGGAGAAAAAAAAGATGTGAAAATAGAAGTTATCATTGAAAATCAAACCCACACATTTCACAAAAGTGATGAAAAAGGCTAATCAAATCGAAAAAACGGATATAATAAGAGAGTCAGATTTTCAGACACTTTAGAGCAAGTGGGCACATATTACCACTCGTAGAAGCCGTTCCCACTCATTGAATCGCCACATTCTTCAAGCGCCATGTGATGCCATTCAGTAAATAATTTTGAACGAATTTAGCCTAGAGAAACTTTATTCGCAGGCTAAAATTCCTCATGTCGCAGTTCTACGCATTTGGCCGTCAAAAAGACCCATTTGACGCGCCGTAAAAATCACCGCATGAATGAATAGCAAGTCTGGTAAAAAGGTGGATGTGTATATATCCAATGTAAGTCAATGAAAAAGTATACACACGAAGTAAGCCATCACTTGAATGCAGAGGGGACAGGAGGACCAGTGGGATTACGAAGGTCACCCGGTTGCAGAGACGAGGCGGCAGCAGCAAACATTTGCATCGCCAGAGCCAATTTGTCCCCGTCACCAAGACAGCTCGGAGTTGGTGCTAGCTGCAAATGCAGGCTCTGTGATGGATGCCGCAATAGAAGTGTTGTCTGGAGGGAAGCCAAGTTTTCCGCCGAAACACCAGCCTCTGGACGTGGCGATTGACCCACTGCAGATAAACAGAGGGAAAAGGTGATACAGGGTCTTAAGGCTAAAATGCAATTAAGAGCGCTGTTTCGGGCGATTACCAAGGGAGGGCAAAAGTGGATGGGCGAGGCAATTCTGCGCGGAGAGGGAGAGGAGATTAAGAAGGGCGTTCTGTTCGACGGCATCCATTGCTCGATGATGGGGTAGTGCCTGCGGTACAGCTTGCTGAAGACGACAGCCAGTAGGTTTGCCAAGAAGAGAAGGAGTGACACTAGGCTGTGAGAGAGCGGCTCGCGGTGCCTGCTGCCCTGCAGTGCCTGCGACCCCCGAGTGCCAGGCGGCGGAGAGCGGAGGGGGAGACTTGGGCCGTAGGCGTTCGATCTCCTCCGAACTGCCCACCAGGTGACCGTTGGGTTCGCGAGTGAAGTAGCTCGTGTAGACCTGTGCGTCAAAGTTGCTCGCCGACAACTCACTCCCCACAGTCAACCAGCCCTGCCATGCATCAAATATACACGCTACTTTAAGTCATCGTAACACTATTTGAAAGACTTCTTGAATCAAATAACATTTCCCAGAGCATTCGGTAGCCCAAGAGTCCCCTCCAAGCTTCTGATAGTAGTGCGTGAAGGGGGCTGAAGTCAAATCGATACTTTTGTTTAACAGGCACACAAAAAGGGATACTACAATGGCAGTGCTACACGTATCAGTAAGCGTCAAACGTGTCTTAGCACTCGCAACAGCCCAAGTATGCTTCGTGCGCAACCGTATACGGCGAACAAACAATTATTCTCAAGAAAGAGGACTTGAAATTTTGGAAAGTTGGTGCATGGCTTCCTGCTTTTGACTAACACCGAAAGGCTGGATGTCGCTGTACTGAGTTGAGGGCGAATTTTATCGGAGAAGATCGGGATTTTGTAGATCATGGTATAGGACGAAGCCTCCAGAATCAAGACGATCAGCACAGCGATGGACGGGTGTGGATTCACCGCTGTCAATAGTTTCAAAAAGTATCATCTACGAGTGGGAGAACAGAAGTGTTCTCTGAGACAAATGTACTGCTACGGTTATGGATATTCCACCTCATGGTGTCGCTAACAGGTAAATATTAATGTCACGTTCTTGTCTCATCCTACTAGGACAGCCCACAAACTCATACTATACTGCTCATGGGTTCACGTACACATCACAGCAACATGGCTAGAGGGTGTCACCAAATTCTCCTTGCGGTCCGAGATTGAATCTCCAAGAGGAGTGTCTCAGAGATCAGTATTTGCTTCTGTACTAAGATGGGTCGGTTGCACCGACAAATCAATCCACAGAGGGTTTGCCTTTTCCAATATTAGTTAAACGTTGGAAGATAAGCGCATGAATTCAGCACCAAAGTATTTGAGAAAATATGCGGGCTTTGCACTCCTTCAAGACTGTTCGCTCTTCTTAGGCAAATAAAAAAGTCCCGGTTTGACTTGAAACACATCCCATACTTTAAATTCACTTTATTGGGGAAATGAAAGTAACGTATTCTGACCAAGACTCACAGCTCTGAGAGTGCTGTCACGACCGAAGAGATGGAGACGACGACGACCAAGACAGAAGTGCTCGATGATGTGGAAGATCTCGGTGGGTTTGTCCCTGTCTCCATAGGTGCCGGGTGCTTTAGCCTCGCTGATGATGAGATCGATGTCGAGGTTAGCGTGGATAAAATCGCCATCGACGGAGCGACGCACGGTACCGTGGATGCCCATGAGGCAGTGCTCCTTTGTGCGCTGAAGCACTGCACCCGGTTCCAGTTGCTCGTGGCAGGGTCGTGTCTTATTTGTCTTTATCCAACAAATATCCTCGCAGCGTCGGAATCCCCACTTCTTCAGGCACTTTTGAAGTGGAAAAGAAGCATACTCATACAAATTATTAGTCAGATTTCCATGAATCCAATATGTTCAAGGAGAAGATATTCTTTCAAACAGTTAACTACTAAGAATCTGCTGGATATGCGAGACGAATGATAGCGGCAAGGGTGCCGCAGATGGCTTTTAAGAAGATTCTTGGGCATTCAATTTGGCATATTACTAATGATGTGGAAGTAACATACTTTTCTGGCTCCATCAAGACCTTCACCACTGCCACACCAAATCCAAATGAAGGAGCGAGGTGCAGCGATTTTCTCAATTTCCAAGGCCTCAATCTAAAGGAGATACATTAAACTTTAGGGCTAGACTAGGCCAAGAAAAAGCAATCCGCTGACGTACCTCCTGCCACGACCAGGAGCGATCAAGCGGTGGTTCCACCAAAATGACGTCAAAGGCGGAATTTAGATCTTGCAGATTGAAGGTACGGAGGTCCACCCGAAGATACATGGGGGGCGTGACTCGCGACTGAATAAGCTCGTCTTTGAGGCGAATCAGCTCTCTCAACTTTGGATATTCCTCAAAACGATTCCTCAGTCCTGAAAACCATAAAATCGAACTATTAAGGGGTTTCCTTCCCTCTGCCTCCTAACTTACCTGCAGTTAACTGTACTTGTTTGAGCACATGCCAATTTCACAAACTATAAAGGACTACAGTTCTCCAGCCCTTCTGGATGACTAAGAGCGCCCCATTAGCGGTATCAACAGGCGAACCCAATCCGAGTGGACAACAATCCTGATTTCTTCAAAACCCTATCAAAACTAAACATCACGAAAACGACGTATCCACTGTGGATAGCTGAATTTACAGAGGCTCACTGCAGAAGAGTGAGGATACAGTAACAGCTTTTGTCAGAGTGACAACTAAGGGAGCGAGAACAGATTTCAGCGAACCGAAATCTGAACAAACATGTGTCCGAATGCCCAAATATATGACTGGCTGACAACATGATAATTCCCTTCCTCATGCTGCCTTTGAGTAAACGTTACTACATTAAGCAAATGACGAGTAGAATGCTCGCGCTTTGGAACATTGTCTGGCTTCCAACATTATTCTCCAAAGCAAAACCTAGCTAAATAGCTCGTCTCGCAGAGAATGCTATATTCAGAATCCCCAACTAAATATGCAGCATGTGCTACCACTAATGAGCTAGGCAACAATCCTCTCCATAATGCGACTTCGGTAACATTGTCTCCGAGTATGACTGGCATTGAATTGAAGCTCGCGTGAAGATTCATTGTAGTCTAGAGATGAAGCTCAAAAAGTAGGAGCCAATGTAATAAAACGATGCTTTCATAATTCGATGAAACCTTCATTCTCTATGAAGATCGTTAAGCACCTAAGTGCCGTGACACTCTACTTGTCAATGACTCTAAAACCACAATTTTCGATACTTGGCCCTTTTTTAAATCGCGATCTCCGCAGATGTACTAATACGCAGAGGAGGCAGCCGGACACTCAAAACTCAGAGCGATAGGACGAGAAGTCAAGAAAGTGCTTACCGGTGTCACGAATAAAATTTTGTGGCCGTTTTCCCGTGTCAACAAAGTGCTGGCAGTAGTCATTATGCGGATTGGCACTCTGTGTACCCTTGAGAAAGGTGGAAGTGCTAAGGTAGAGGGCCTCTCTTGAATCCGGATTGCGTGAGGGATCGGAGAAAGAAGTGGAAAAGCAGGAGGCATGGTTTTCGCCGCCTCGACGGACGAGACGACCCTCGCAAAGACTATAGCCCTGAGACAGTGGTAACCCATCAAGGTCTTGATAGAGGAGACGGAGAATAGAGTTGGAGAGCCGCGATGCTTGAACGCTCCTCAAGGTAGGTCTGATAAAGGAGGACAACAACGTAGGGAACCAAGCATCTATAATACAAGCAAAGTGCCCAATACCCTCGGGATGTTTCACAAACAGATTGTATGAGAGAAAAAAAAACAAAGTTACGCAGTTCTCCCAGTATGAGGACAAATGAACTTTTTACCCTTGAGGAACAGACGAATCGAGGGAAAATTAGTGGAAATCTGTGTTACGAGAGACGAGGGTTTAATGGCGAATATGCCAAACTAAAGAAGGTTGCGAAGTATACAATAGATCAACGGCATGTATAACCCCCAACCTAGCCAAATCAAATGTATAAAACAGCTGTACTTAGTACGTTTATTGCCCTACAAATATAATATTCTAGTGGTCATACCCACTGGAACCATTGCTGGATAAACAGGAATCTGGACTTACAAAATTAAAGTTTTCTTCATAGCCGCCTCATCAAAAGAACCACCGCCGACGGGTTTATACTTAAGCCGATCTTTGAGGATTTTGGACAAGGTACACTGGTATACAGTTTCATCAAAGCTATCATTGTGGTGAGCACGATTGCACAACACACTAGCGTCCCCGACTAAGTGCTTCACAACTAGCTGTCGGACTTGGGTTTGACGTTGGCGACGATTAGCAAGGCGCAGCCGATAACATTCCAGAGAATCGGAAGGAGGAAGGTAGGTTGGTTTCGTCATCCTAAGCATTAGCATATAGTAGATATTGCGTAGTCCACAAAACACCAAAAAAGACAGAAAGCGCTAAAAAGACTTTATTTAAACAAATGTGGGCGTCTACAGACTCTCCAGAGGGGTGTCGATACTGGATTTGATCACAAGGAACCCAAAAATACCAAACCCGTAAAGACCGATGCTCTTAATCAGAGACCTAGACAATACGATAAATCAACGACCCCATACCATTTAAACAGATCTTCATAAAGATCATTAAAGAAGCCCTTAGATTTAGGCTTCTTTTCGGGAAGCATCATGAAGCCGGGAGGCGCAAACATTCCAAACACCACAATAACAACCTTAAAAAGTGAGCAAATAATAGTGACGAATAAAACAATTACATTTTCAAGTACCAAAACTGAGTAAAATTTCTTGAAATGTTGTACGTATCTTATCAATTATGTGCAAAAACAGCAGAGTATAACGCCGAATCCTGACAGGCGCTGCCGTGTTTTGGGGGAGGAGAGAAGGTGCAAATAGGAATAAAATAGTAGTCCAAACAATTGCATTACTAGAAAAGTTGTTATAGAAGGACCTAAAAAGTGCAAAAGAATATTTTAGTGTTTTGCACATGCATTTTGCAGCGGAATGTTATTGACTTTGGGGGATATCTGGTCTGTCTTCTAAGAGTAATCCTATACTATTTAAACTTATAAGCATAAATTATCGTACCGTTTATCGACTAAAAAGATAGGGATGCTTAAACTAGAGGCTTTTGGTGATTATGTATCTTGCAATGCTAAGGATATCGCTTTGTCTAGATTTGATGCAATGCTTACACTGTTTAATGTTCCTTTCAGAGTGGAGGCGGGGAGACGAAGTGAGCCTCGTGACAGAAGAGTCGACGTCCTACAAGCCTGAACTCCGTACCAGCTTTCTCCATTTACTTGCCATAGTAAATATGTCAAAGTCAAACCAACCTGGGTGTTCCAAGGGTACGAGGAACAGGGAAGAGGAGATCTACGATCCTCATTCTACATCAAGTCAGCTCAAAAGTAAATCATCGATAACGTTAGAGACTAGCAATAGTTACAAATGAATTTAAATACACATTCAATAAGTAATTGGTGTAGAATTGTTTAATTTGTGTATGTGCTTCAACTTTAATTGCCTGACTTCTGCTCTGTGAGCGTATGGAATAGTTCCCTTGGGCGCCCACTTCTTAAGCATTTTTGCATGGTATATCGTCCCCGAGTCCTCAGTGGCTTTTAGCATCTTTTAAGATTTTTCTTTAAAAGCACTGATACTTACAGGCAGCTTGCGGGTTTCCGAACAGAGCGGGTGGGAATGGAGCTTCTGAATTATTGAATAGTAATTTAAGATTGTAAAACTTCTATTATTCTTAGATATTTACCCAAGTAGGTAAAGATCCACTTCGTATCAAATAACCTAGGAAAAAATAAGGTCATTATTATACTCTGACTAGAAAAACATTCAACTTGGTACTATTTAGCTAGGTGTTAGGATTGATTCGGACTTATGTCTTAAGTCTATTTGCACCAATACATCTGGAATTTTAGGTGAATCGAGTTTCTGCTATCAAGGATTTCAGGCTTTAGTGGCAAGCGGAGCACCAGATTCGCGGCTATTAATTACACACCAGCATCGTGAATTTTTCCCGTCCTCTGTTAATGGTACGCTTTCGTCTTCCAATTGTGGTCTGCTAGAGGAACGCGTTTTAAAAGTAGTCGTTTAGCCTGATATTTTAGCAGAGTTTGTATTACTTTGCCATTGCTAGCAAAAACATGCTATACAATCTTTCCCTGACCTAACCGTGGCCTTCTCAATCGAGGTCTTGTTGGCCACTCCACCTATGCGCTCGTGCCTTAAACATAGGCTCATACGCCTTTCTGGTCTTTGGCAGTTGGCATCGGTGTTGTCACTGTTCCCAGCCACCTGGATGGTATGGTCGTCTTGCTGCATAATAATATGTCCATCATTAAAAACTGTATTCGCTGTAGTTGCTGCGGCGAATTGCCGTCCGTTTTCTCACTTGGGACAACTGAAGAGTCAACTTGTAGCACCATTCGAATTTCCTCACAGGATCTTGATGGACCGTAAACAATGACAATTCCCCTCCACAGCAATTTTTACTGTTGTCTCTACCCCCTTGACGGTCAGATCGCCTGTATTCCGAGATCTGGGATGTCACTCTGCGGAAGGCTGTCCCCAATACCATCCCTGTCAGGCCCTTTTACCTTCGATGCTGTTTAACTCCCTCAATTACCACTCCCTACCTAACCCTAAAGCGGTCCATAAGGAATACTTCTCTGACCCTTGGCTCGGAGGTACATTGGCTTGCAAAATCACACAGGTATCCTCATATCCACACAGCCTAACTTTATCATTTTGACCTAAGCTGCACTCATTTTGGTAGGAAGTTGGAGTCACCTAAACTCTGGGCTGGAACATTCAATGCATTTGTAACGGTGTCACCTGGTCATAAAGGTTACGCTGCACTTAAATAAAAGAAGTAAATGCATTTTATAACCTGAATACGAGATCTTATGGTTTACGCTACTCCGTCTAACATTTCTACACCTATCTTAGCAATGGACAAAGTCCTGGGCGAGACAGCTTGCTGATACGTTTAAACTGTTCTAGTGCGAAAAGTTTCATTCTTCTATTCTCTTTATTTCTTTTGAACCAGGTTGGGGGCATTCTTTATTAGTAATATTATGAAAGGGATACAGTGATCAGGATTATGCTTGATCTGGGTACACTTCCTCCTTGGGGGTGGAGGGCGTCCGTCCTGTCACGAGATTCGTTTCTACAGATCGCCTCTCGCCTGGAGGGTCTATTCAAACAGACATCTATTACGTAGTCGTCTCCTCTTTTTGACCATCGCACTTGATATTTCCCTCATACATGTCCTCTTCATATCCCGTTTCCAGTGGCCTTCTTCCCTCTGCTAGTACGTAGACTTTATTTTCATGTCCATGTTTTTGCTATGGTGAACAGCGATTGGTTAACTGAGGGGTTGTGCATTAGAGACGAGGCAGTTCGTCGGTGAAATGACTACCAACACTCGTAATGCACCATTGCTCCATGTATAATGAAATTGGCGGTGTACTGCAGGTGGTGAGATGGGGTTGTTTAATCATAGTAGGTCTCCTTCTCGGTGACAGCGCTTATCGTATTATTTCTTCTGCCTATTTATTATACATGACAGTCATGAGTGATTCCGTGCGATGTTACAAGTTTATCTTACCTCCCCTTTCAATCTCCATAGGTACTCTGGAGCATTGTGGGTTATATTTTCCATGTCAGTACTCTCATTTCACGATATGTAAACATCTTGAATGTTGCATAGACTGAAGCCCCTACTATATGCAAAGAGGAACGGGTAAAGGCTAAAATCGCAGTCTTCCTTAGTGCAATTCTTTAGTGGTCCAAATGGAGTGTGAATCGTTCTTTCCACCTCTTTGTTGCCTTGCAGATGTAGAGATGTCGTGCTTACCTCAGGGGTTTCAAAGGTCTTACATAGTCCAGTAAAGAATCGGATTTCAAGATTAGCGTCCTGATCACTACGCACTTATTCCGGCACACCGTGTTGACAAATCCAATGACTGAAGAAAGCCAAAACCATTACGGGGTTTTCTATCTGCATGTGTTCGCCCTGGTCACTTTCTTAAAGTAGTCTACCATAACCAAAATACATCGGTTTCTTCGCTTGGTGGATTATAGGGGACTCGTGGTGGCATTCCTTTCCCTTTTCCCCTAAAAATCCTGTGGGGATAGATTATGAAAGTGTGACCTCTTTGAGGTGAGGCATTTTGAAGATGCTACTGCAAGTAATGCAAGTTCGGTAGAAATCGAATACGTCTGAGGTGGTTGTTTGGCCACCAGTGCCTTTTGCTCAAGGGGTTCAACACATTTTTCCACCCACGTGCCACAGCTGTTCTAGTAGCTCTTGAAGAACTGCCTGTACCAATTCGCCTTGGACCACTTGGTGCTAAGAAGACCTAGCACCTTCTTAGCACAATAAAATCACATCCTTTAGAGATAATTGCTCCCATCCTTGCCATATCCATCTGGTCGCCTTGCTAGACGACGTCATCTCTCTCGCTGTGCGTTTGTAAGAAGATGTAAGGAATCTCGCGTATACCAGGGTTGTATCAAAATAGCTACTCTACGCATTTTGATAATGATATTTAGTGAATTTGCTTAAAAATATGGTACTCACTGCAATACCACCTGTTTCTGCTAGGACCGGTCTGCAGGACAGGGTGTCTTCATTACTATGCGTAATGCAAAGTTTGACCACGTAATGGTCCATCTCCTACACTGTTCTCATTTGGGTCAGCCAGCTACTGATGACCCGTTCTCAATGTAGTCCACCTTGCTATCAGGTAACACCTGAATAGTCTAACCATTGTAAAAAAAGCGAACAATTCACTTCAACTTGTGTTGCAGTGTTCCATCTCATCTTTTTGTTGAGTTTGGCGCAACAACGAGTAGGCAGTGATGTGTACCTTCGCTTCCATCCTTTCCCCTTTGTGAAAATACGCCGCCTAAGGCGGCATCACTGGCGTCAGCATCCAATACGAACGGTAGGGTACCCGACTGAAAGTTAGGTAATGCTAGAATCTCAGCAAAGCTTGCTTTTTCTGGCACTTGAAATACTTCACCCATTTGTGCATCAATTTACACAGCAGACTTGGAATCATAACAAAAGCTTTAATGAAACACCCGAAGCAATTTGTTAAGCATGGGAAACTACGAAGTTTTGTCTGGTTGATGATGGCCAGGCTCTCATTTGCACTGTGTGGTCTTCACAAACCGCCATCCTATCTGATAGAACATTGTATCGTAAAAAGTTGACCAGGCATTGCAGAAGTAGATGCTTCCCTAGATTAAGGGTCAAATCTGCATCTCGTAGGTGGTCCAATACCAATCTTACGTTGACGCTCGGCTCTAGAATGTCCCTACCGAAGGCAAGAATGTCATCTAGGTGTATTATACAATGTTTAGGGAAAAATCCGACCCGAGCGGCCTGCATAAGGCGTTGAAAAGTTGTTGCAGTCTAGAGCCTGGAAGGCGTTGTCTAGAATTAAGGGAACATTTTGGAAATATAGACATCTTTTTCCCTCATTTTCTCCATTTCAACTTGCTAGTAACGGTCCTGGACAGGGAGCGGTTATGACCCGAGTAGAGAGTCTAGCGAATCATTTATATGGGGTAGAGGGAAAGCATCCTTCTTTGTCACTGCTTTCGGCTTCCTTTAGTCGACGCGCAGCCGCAGATTTCCGCCGTTCTTCTCAATCAGAGTAATTCGAGAGGTTCATAGCGACTTTGATGGCTTAATGACTTCGTCTCTGATCAATTCTTTAACCAAACACTACTTCCTTTATCAGAAGAGATAGTATGCGTCCGGGTGGCTGCCAGATTGTTCTGGCTTCGCCGTTGTCCATAGTATGCTGTCCGATGTGTGTACCTCCCAGCATAACATTTTGCCTAAGTTGACCTTTTACTGCGTCTTTCGTCCATCACCATCTTTATTTTTACCAAACGTAATCTGCTAGATGGGAAAGTGATCCTGATCCTTTGGGAGCAAATTCTAGAGTATAACGCAGAGATCCTCGAAATGAGGGTGCTAAGCTTAATCACCTGCTGCGATTGTTGTAGCAACTCCTGAAGTTTCTCTACGAGCATCATTATCTCGTTGAGGGAGTTGGTATTCTCACTGTGCAGCATTTGACTAGAATGGGTGGAATTGCTTTGTGTCCGGGCTAAGCGGTTATTCATTCAGCTACTCCGGTTGGAGGTGAGCCACGAAAGGCTCAGTCCCTTTGAAGTTGGAGGTTCTTTGCATACTCCTCATTGTCTTCATCCACTTTTGATAGCGATGAAAGAGCAATCTAATAAGCTTTTGTTCTTCCTGATCGATGACGAGTTGGGCTGGGGTAGTATAGCATTCTTTCAGATCAGTGATCGGGTTATCAAAGCCCCTACGGTGGACAAGAATTGGTTTTGGGGGAGTGTGAGTAGAATCTACAGTGTTCCTCAATGCTAGAGGTTGAACCAGAGAACAAATCTATCAGATTTGGGACATCTTTTGAAGTCTGAGTAGTTTGTAAAACAGTATAGGTCAGCTAATACTGCATCCCAGTCTTTATTGTCTTAAAAAAAAGGAGTGTCTAGGAAGGAACTTTGTTTTATTGGCAATATCACAAACGGGGTACAGAAATCAGGGTCATGCTTGCTTAGAGTGCTTTTGTTTTCATAGGTGGACAACATCTAGTCTGTCAAGAGATTTGTGTTAAATGAACGCTTTGCTCCAAATAGGTCTTTTCATCGAGTATATACTACAATTGGAGAATTCACTCTACTTTGTCAGCATTAAAATTTTGACTTTTTTGCTTATAACCCCTAAAGAATGCAAATAAGTTGACACTATTTACTACACGATACAGGCCTTAAGAAGTGTCCTAAATAACTCCTCACTAAAGTTGCATAAGGTGCAGGTTAGTTTCCGGCTTATAATTAATAGTTTCGTAGATTTTAATGAGAAATTTGTGGTCAGAATTAATTATGGCAACCCCAACCAGAGCCAGCATCAGTGCCATTACTATTTTCAAACGGCAAATGCATCTTCCATGATCTCAGGAGTATTCTTTTTTACCTAGGTCATAGAAATTGCAACATTGGTAGTGGCGATCTATTTCCACCAAAATAATATGCCGAATAAACTTATAACTCTACAGTTAGAACTTTTTAATATTTTTGCTGTGAATATTTGTTTAGGCGCACCAATTAATTGCACTTCTAATCTCCGCAGTTTTTAAGGGCAGTGTTGAGCCTTGATGCTGGGATTATATATTTGCAATAGAATATTTAAGCTACCTAAATCGACGTTGTTTCAAAGACGGAGTGTTGGATCTTTTAACGCATGGAGTTTACTACGTTAATTCACAGCTACGCATGCCTGAAGGTGCGTCATATCCATTTGTACTGATTATTTTAATGGTAAGTCATCGAAAGTGACAAAGCCGCCTTAAGACGAAAGGGAAGTGCGCTACAATTCTCTTAAGCTACAGTATACGATTTTTGTGCCATCTTGCCGTGTTTTTGGTTGACTTTTAAGAAGCAACTGGGTCCCTTACAGAATAGACTATTTCTCCCATACAGGTTTTAAATTAGTGACATGAAAGGTAAACGCCGCAGTTCTTCTTGTTTTATAGTCAGTAGTCTATGCTCTACAAGCGCAATCAATTTCGTCTTCATACTGGCCGGCTCGTATGTGTATTCTCTTCCGCAAATTGGACCTAGCAATATAAACCAACTTTGAAAAAAATCCTTAAATGAAAGTTTTTATGCGTTTGTAAACACTTTAATTGACACTTCGCATATCTGAATGATAAATTTCATAGTTTTCTACCAAGATAAATAATTATGCCTAGACGATTCCCACTGTGATTACCAACAGCTTATTTTGTATTTCTTTGATAATGTTATCACAGTTGAATTTTCGACATAGACAGCATAGACTTACGTATTGACAACGACTTAGGCAGCATACTATTTGACAGTTCTCTCTTGTTTTCACTTTTGAGAAGTTTTAGCATAATTTTAAGATTATCAGCTTATGATTCTATTTTCATAATTCCGAATCGCTGTCCGAATTCATTTGGTTTTCCGTGAGTCGGCTGTTTAGCTCTCCAGCTGAATAGCCCCCTGAAATAGCTTTTGCTCTTTATCCAGTCATTCATTCGTTAAATGTGCGGTCGTCTAACCGCAGTGTTATCCCCAGTCCTATGGGCACCCACCTTTTGGCTCAGCACATGCAACCCCTCCCAATGCTTTTACAACTTCCATCCCCCAGTAGAATGCCCTGGCTAGTTGGCAAACATGTCTCTTCCAATCCATTGTATATCCAAGCGTCAAGGTGATAGTCCTATCCCCCCCCCCTCCCAGTTAATGTACAGGAACACGTCAATCGATTGTGCCTCGTTTATTTGTTTACTTCGTCGTGCATGCATTCACGCATGCATCTGTACGTGTCAGCCCCCAGATTGGCTGCCACTCGAGCGCGTGGACCCGGCGTGTACAACGATAAATCGCCGTGCGCGCACGACCTTGACGTGTGCGTGTGCACGCGTGTCATCCCGTGCCACTAGCCGCCACAGTTGCTGTTCTTGGGTGCGTGCGTGCGAGCGTGCGGGTGTTAGGGCAGGCAGGAGGGCCGACGTGCAACTAGCTACCCCTCTACTACACAGACGTTTACAAACACCTGACGTGTTTCACAGCGCTACAAGCCGACAACTCACAACTCCTTTTTTGGGAGCTAATGCTCCACGTTTTATTTAAAGACCTTCTTCGTTATCCTCTTATTGTAAGGCGGTTAACAAGAAAGCTGTTACATCATATGTCAGCATCAGATTTACATCAGTGACACTAGAAGAAAGTCCGAGATCACAATCTTCCCAGCCGTAGAAATGGATGGTAGTGTTTTAAAACTATCCTCATTTATTTCTTATCGGGCCACGAGACAAAGTTTTTTTAGTGATTCTGAAAAGCTGAAGTTACGGTTGTGGTGGCACACAAAATAATTAGGCGCTTAGTGGTCAACTTGGACCACCTAGAGGATGAATACAGTGGTACACTCACAAATGGTTCAAACTTGGCTTACCTCCTAACTAGCGATCGTGAATAGATTGCATGAAAATCTAGGGCTCCCTTTCTTTTGGTTATAGGGAATGCGGAGACGGTATGTGAGCCTAGTAGCCACGCCAGGTTTGGTAGAAGCTCATCTTCTAATCTTTGAAAACGAGACGAAGTGGGTGGCGTCTAATCCACCCCTCACCTCGCCCTGCAGCACACCATCACCTACACTTTCCTCTCCTCCTGCACGACCCGTCTCTGAGTCAAGTTCGACCTCTATCCAGACTCTTGAACATCTCCTACAAGCCGATGATGGCTCTCGCAAAGGCGCCAAATACGTTGTTCGACTGGAGGGCCTTTTCTATGTCGGTGTGAATCATGTACATGTCAATGGACGATTGTCCGTCGCGGCAGCAATAAAATCGGCCTTTGGGAAACTCGTGGTGGGATCTAAGAACCAGGAAAATCAGCCTCAAAAGCAGAAGCATCAAAATCCGCCAGATCCTGCTGGAAGTGCGGTAGGCTGAAAATCGTATGGTTCGGTCATCCTAGTAAAGCTTTGTGTTGACCAGTTTAATCGCTTTGCCTATCGTTTAGGAATCGTACGTATCAACTTCCTCAACACCGGGAACAATTAATGGATCTGTAGAGGCCTCAGCTTCCTCTCAGCGGCCGGCATCAATCTGTGGGCTACCATCACTAAACGGTGTCACTTCTGCTGCCACCTCAACTACGGCTAACACATCACGTTCACCCACCTCCTTGGGACTTTACTTCCAGGATGGAAGTTCCACTCTAATGTCCTTTGCCACTCCTGATCTCCTTGAAGATTGGTTACGTCTTCTTTCCGCTGTTGTTGGTACCAATCGGTCGCGATCTGGATATCCTCACATCGGTAAGTGGAGTGAAACTGCATTACACCTCTTAGATCGTGAATAGAATTTGTGGAATGTACAAAATCGCCTCGTACGTTGTTGAGCTCAAGAGGTTCTAACCAGTATTAAGTATTTATAACCTTCCCCTCCCTTCATCATTGAATTCAGTCTTTCTTAAAGGGTGGAACACAGCAAGTCCTGTTTTTCCACCGGACATTCACAGAAAAAGAGGAAAGTACAAAACTTTTGCTTAAACCACACGTGGAAGTGTGCATAAAAAGTTTTCAGGAGGGGGATAAGGTCATCAGTAGCGACTTGTCCGCAGCAAATAATACCTTGATTTTGTACAAGGCAACGTACCCAATGCCTTCTTAAGTATTTTCATCTTCTTACAAAAGAAAAACCCCTCTCTAGCGCAAGGAATTTTCCCAAAGCTCACGCTTTTGTATCCTCGATTGAGTAGCAATGAGTTAGTCACCTTATGTACAGAGGAGGCCGTGTCAATGGGGAAAACTCGGGGCATAGCTGATAGTCACCCATCCATGTCCGAGATTGGATCTTCTTTAGTCGTGGGGTTTTGGGAACGTTTATTCATCACCAGTGACCATTAGGGCCGTAGGAAATACCACTCATGGCTTATCATTCATGGGGTTTGAGAAGCCTCATATATCATTGCGCTTTCCGAACAGATATATTTTAAAGGGCCCCACATATGCATGCACACACAAAACACCACGTGCACGTGACCTTGAGGCGTACCAATAGGAGTAGTCCTCCTCCCATTTGCATGTAGACGCGTGCACACGCTATTTGTCCATGCCTGAAATTTTATCTTTCCTTTGCCTTTAGACGGGCTTACACAAGCCAGCTCTACTACAGGAAACTAAGTATTCGAAGGTTTTCTCTCAACACCTTTAGTGCTTGCACAGAGCTCTTTGAGAGCGTTGAAAAAGTTAGGCCAATGGATCAAAGTTTTTTTGTTCTGGCTATTCGGCGTCCTCACAATGCCTTCATTCATCCATCAATCCATCCGCTTCTCTATCAATTTATCAAACGTTTCAAAGATTCGCTTAGTTGCAAACACATAATGCCGGCTTCCACCGCAATTCTGGATAGTTCTACTTCATATCTTCTGGCATTTTAGTGACATATAATGAAGCTGTAGCACTGACAGGTTTACTACACCATAAAACTGTCACTCGAGTGATAGAGGGTACATTCACGACGTGCTGAAGGCTAAATTACTTTTGGATACCAGACCCGCGGATGGGACCAGAACCAGGATAGGTCGTTTCTAAGCCGAATAGCTCTTAAGTCCTGACTCTCGTTGGATGTGTCAGCTTCCGGCCTATCTGGCTACTACCATGCTTTAGAAAGTGATCATAAAAAAGGCTTTGATTTTGACAACCAGAGAAGCATTAGTGGGAAGCAGGTAGGCAGGCAGGCATGTAGGCAGGGCGACCGCAGTGTGTATACGCGAGAGGGGTACTTGACGTCACTTCTTCGTTTCCCTTAAATCGACGTTCAATTGCTATCGTCTCTGGTGTAGTGGATCGGCGTTTTTGATTTCCCATTTCAGCGATTTTTTTTCCTCCTAAGTTAGGGAAGTAATACATATTTCTCATTAAGTATTTTTTCTTCGAATTAGTGGATAAAATGAGTGCTTCAAGTAGGACTGAATGAATAATTTATTCGACAAATAAACTGAAAGGGCAGATGAATATGATACGAATGAGTTGAAGAAACAGTACTAAGTGGATAAAACACCGAATGCGGAACGAATGAAGGAGGTATTCTAATGCGAGGACGATGGTTTTGGTCATATTTCTGGTTTAACCAACTCCTTTTCAAATGGTAATATAAACCTCAGTTTTCTTCCATGGAATTCCATCTTTACTTGAGGTGAGCCCGTGTGTTTAGATTTTTTAGATCTGTCTCCAATTATCTAGACAGGTTATCTTGACTAATGAATGCTATAACTTCCGGAAACCGATGTGAATTCATTTATGCAAAATATCTACAACTGAAATACCTCTCTTACCACCCAACCTTTAGCCTGTGTGTTCCGCTGAGTCACATCAACCCACACCAAATTTAATGTGATGGCTACCCGAATGGGTGATGATGAACACAGGAAAGTTGTCGTCGCCAATCACCTTCTTTATCCGCAAAATTTATGTCCTCCCCCTAGAATACGCCTCAACAGTGACGTGCAGGTTCAAGGCGAAGGAATTCAACTCGGGTCCCTTTCCCAAGATAAAGGGGGAGTGTCTCTTCTGCCTCTCCAAATTGGACGTCCTTCTCATTAACCAAAATATCAAACAGCCCGATCTCTCCATTCGCGTACGTAACTTTGTCATTTATTTACGAAAATTCGTTCATATGCAGAGGTGCTTCGAACTGCTCCTCGATGCCCACTAACTTCGTTTGTTGTAGCTCAAGCTACAGCGCTGGTAAAAGTAGCTATTCTACTGTGAGGGTGTTCAAAAGACGCTTATACACGTTAGAGGTTTTTCGATCCAAACCGTGACTTTTAGAATTTAAGGAGTGATAACTTCAATTACTTTTTTCCTATGGTTAAATGGTGCAACTTTTTTTTTTTTTTTTAAATCGCAAAGAAAAACTTGTCTTCTGTGCAGTTTCCTCACAGGATAGGTTGTGCTTCAATCAAGCGTTCTACGCATTGAATGTGTAGAATGAATTTGTTGGCGAGAATCGTTACTAGCCAGCAGACCTTCAGTGGTCTATTCCATCAAACATCTTGCTGCTCACTAAATAAACGTGTCACCACCGTATCGCGCTGTGTTTGAAGTGTTCGGTAGGAATTGATATCTGCGGATGCATTTTTTAGCCTTTTTTTACAAGAAACTTCTTTCATCACTACCCTCTGTTGGATACACATATGCACTCACCAGCACTATTGCCTACCAGCTTTATTAAGGGTGTCTGGCCTTAACTGATCGTAGACATGTATGGCAGCTGTTAACATTTGACAGAAAAAACTTGACAATCATTACTGCATGTGGTACCACCATAACACCACACCTTTACTGCGTTCGACTTGATTGCCTATGTGAATGATGAAGTGATGCGGTATTGTGGTTTGTGAACACCTTGGAAAGTGAACATTTCCAACAAAATGGGAGGAGTAGGTGAATCCGCGGTGATCCACGCACATACGCACACAACCAACGATGAATCAGCACTCCTGATGCTTGACTTTTCACTTCTTTTACCCAATGCACAGGCAGGTGAAGCCGGTTTTATGGTTCTGTATGCGTGTTGCCACATATATCATAAAAGTCGTATTTAAAGGCACCGAAATAGACAATTTAGGACCGCTTCTGTAAACAAACTCTCCCGCACCGAGCACGGACTGAATGGAGGTGCGAAAACGGAAGTACTTGATGGCTGACCTCGTACCATTTGAATTGAATGCTTGGATCCATCAAGCTAACCCGAGATCTATCATATTGTTTCGAGGTCACAAAAGTCATTAAAAGCAATTTTTTCACTACGAAACACTTTAGTCATATATAGATGTATTTGAAGAAGAAGATTCCTGGCGACAGCATCATAAGGTGGTTTTTAATTGAATGAATTGGCACCGTTTCCTTAACGATGTAACCATGATGAAAATGGACTAAGCGTTGGAATCGTACATCTAAGTGTTTGCGATTTCGCTCAAATGCCAGCATTCACCTAGAAACAACGCTTCGACTTGCCTTCTCACAACTTTTTCTATTCCTCTGGTTTCAAATATCACTTCCAGAGTAGGTGAATGACCTTAGTGTTATTATATTTTTGTGTTCAAAAACAGTTCCCGTATGTGCGAAATTGCGCCTCAAGAGATGATGGACGCCTGTGTTTGGATATTGGCCGAGCGGCACCGACCGGGGAATGTGAACTCGTTATCCAGTTGCCCAACGCTCGCGAGGCGAAAGCTGCCCACACACGGTGTATCATGTAAGTTGTGTGTTCTTTATTGCAACTTGGCTGCCACAATTAACTAGTCTGAAGAGGCTAACGCAACCTCCAGCCCTCCCTAAAGATATTGTAAGTTGCACAGCTCCAGGTGGAATTGTACCATGAGTGTACGGAGAGGTCGGTGAACTGGTAACGGAGACAACAGGTACGGGAGACTGTACCATCAAGATGGAAGACTGCAGAGCCCAAGAAATTAAGTGTACGATTAATATATGACTCCATTGTATAGTTTTCTGTTTTCGACAAGATTATTAACGCTCCTCTTGCTCAATCTTCTCTGTCGGTGATTTGGAAACAACCAAGAGCTTGGTAAAAGAACAAACTTGGATTTTTCATCACGTTAGAAGTGCTGTTAATTCTGCCGATTTTGATGAACTCAAAGCTCCGTTCTCTTTGCGTCGAGACTTCCTTTAAGACGAACGAAAGCGTAATACCGGGGCGGAATATGCATCATCGACGTTTTGATGGGCTGAGGGGCTACCGGCATGGCCCGGAGGCTATGCCACTGGGCGGAAGAACAATGACCATACCCTTCAATGCTCGCGTAACTGAAACGACAAGTCAAATGACATCCATTGTGTAACACAGCCCCTCTCCTCTTTTGAGCGTCGTCTTTGACGCTACTCTTGGTCAACATCTCGCGTCAGCCATTACAATGTAGTCGGTGCTGTGAAAAGCACCCAGGAACCAATAACACCCTTTATTGTAGCTGCGTACAACTGGGAAGATATCTGGCCGCAACGTCACTGATCCCTCTTGTCATTTCCACTGGACCTGCAGCTTCGTCTTGTTTGGGAACTGTATCGCGGGAAGGGGAATGTGTTGGCCATCACGCATGTCCACCGCTAATCGTAAGAACACTGGCCTAAATGTAGAGTTAAATAACAAAGGACGGGATTTAATATACTTCTGCGAAAATAGCGTTTTGTGCCTGTTCCTCCTTGCCACTTTATTTTCACTTCAGTGTTGCTCAGCCGTATCTAATCTATCCACGTTCCATCCAGCTTGTAGAGAGGTGGTGGAAGTATTGCGTGTTCATTTCATTCACGTCCTCATGCACGTACCGTAGACAGCTTTGTAATGACCTTTTCCAGATGGTTCGCAGCTGGTGTCGCTTCAATTGTTGATAGCATTCCTTCAAGACGCGGGACTGGGGTAGTTGTCGAAGGTAGACGCTATTTTGAACCCTTCTGTTCAAGGTTGGACAATGCTCTAAATCGGGTACATTTCATGCCCAAGACGCTATTTATAGGACCATTTTTCAAAGGCTGTTATTGAGTAAGATGTACAGAACACCTTCGAGGGGTTGATGGTTGGGCCGTTTCAGCTGTTGATTACCTTCCAGCAGAGTAAGAGGTTGAAGCGATTACCAATGATGTTGATGGTACTTCTGTTATGAGGCTCCACAAGTTCGACCAACGATGATCCATCTTCGTCCGTAACGTTTTTGCTTGGTATCTAGGCGATGAAACCAGAATTCTAGTTCATTTGGTTTGTGTTTGTTCGTCACCACCATAACGTCTTTCGACGGTATAGATATTACAAGTCTAGATGGAAGGGAGAGGACATGCCGCCGCTAAGGCGGTAGCTAAAGCCTATGGAGACTAAATAGCTATTGTAGTCAAATAATGACCTAAAAATTCTTCCCTTGTGGACAAGTAGTGGCGTTTCTACCCTTGGTTTGCCAATCAAAAGGGTCCAGTCAAGCTCTAGCAGGATTCCCGTGTCTAAGTGGCCAACATCCAATCAATAGGTTTTTCCAAACACGCTGGACTGTGGAAAGGCACAAACCTTTCGGGAATGACTTGCTTTAGCATGCATTACAAGAGGAGCGTTAAATTTCAACCTAGTTACAGCCGCCCACAGGTCATATATCTGCCCGTGTGTTTGCACACTTCATTGGCTCTCGTATCGGGTACCTGGGTTACACTCACAACCTCCATTCGTTTGTGCAGCTCTACACACGTGTGTATGTGTGCGTTATAGTTTTTTGTTCCTTCTTCTAATGAGTTCGATAGGTTGCGAAAAATTACCTACCCAAGTCCACTGTTTCAACCTACAAAAGGCAAGAAGTGAACTGGAAGTCTAACAGGCCTCTCCATTGTTATCACAAGAGACACTTTATTTGACTTACTTTCACAACCGCTCCCTTCTGCCATCATTTGCTACAATAGCTCATCTTCCAGATGTCGCTGCTCCATAAACCCACAATTATGTAGCCAAGCACTCGAAATGTAAGTTGTCATGTCACGTTGGTTGCCGGGGCCTCAGGGGGAGCTCGGCCACCACAGCTCGAAGGGAAAACCCGATGCTACTAATATTTCGACTAATCAAACAGATGTAATTGCCCTCAACCCGAGGAAGTCCTACACCTCAACCAATTTCCCCGCAACACAGCTTGATGTGATGCGATGCGCGTTGCCTAGTTCTCCCTCTCAGTGTGTTTCTGTGCGTAAAACGATTTTCAGATTATTTTGTGATAACAAACCACTTTGAAAATTACTCCAAAATCCGGTCCTTTCCAACTGCGTAAACACACGTACTGGCTGCTTTACTATTTTTGTCGTGTGCTAGACAGCGCCAGTTGACCTTGAGCGGCAAGGTCATGTAAACAAGTACGAGGGAGTAAATCTTAGTAAGTGAATGTCTGAATTGCTTACAACCAGTTGTCGCCCTTCAGGTTAATGCGACAGTGTCCCACCTGGCTGAAACTTGGCCGAGATGGTCCCAGCTCTCGCAGGCGTACGTTGCCGAACTTTGGGTGAGTTAATGCATGCACCTTCAGAAATTCTTAGGTTATTGCCTTGTTTGTAATCCCCGTCAGGGAAACGACCCTCCATCTACCTCGCCCAAGTCATGCTGTTTCGGAGTGCAAGAAGTATTCAAAATAGGCAGGGACTTTTGAGTCTGCAAATGAACCAATTTTAAGGAGGGGAAATCGTGTTAATCTTATCACATCGCCCTCTACCACAGCTATAAGTCTGTTACGAATACTTAGATGTAGAGGGACTTGCAAGTCCACCTGAACCATCCCAAAGAACTCTAGCTGCCAAATCCACCAATCTTAACTGTTTTGATGTTTGTTTTGATCCCAGAGTTGAATGGTGTGCCTGTGTACAGAAAGTCGTGACCTTCCTTGGCACAACGTTCTCTAATCTAAGTGCAGTGGTATTCAACTTTTCTATGATGGCCAAAATTGGGGACCTGTCTTGGTTGTAAAAGTGCGTCTACTTTTAGAAATCGCAAGTGTTTGTACTCCTGAATGACTGGCTCATTTTGCCACAGAAAAATTTGTTTCCCCCACAATTTCGCCACACAGCATGTTTTGGATCCATCAAGGGGTGCCACGCCCTGGCTGCATTTTTGTCCTCAGGAGCAACTGTGGCATGAGAACGGAGCCACTGAAGCTGGAATAGTCACTGATATTCATCTGTATGACTGGTCTTAGCATGTACGATGCGATTAATCAGTCAAATGTGAGACTGCTGAGCTAGTGAGCGTGCCATCACCGCAGTGTGCTGTGATTGAAAGCTTCTACATGAGTCAATATCCGCAAGTTTTACGTCTTCGTTCACGTGAAATTGCGTTCTTCACCTCACGGAATTCTATACACAGGCGCACTACTACTGTTGCCTGGCGCCTTGATTAGTGGTGTCTAGGTTTGGCCCACGATGGCATCTGTGCAGGCTATTAGTGCAATTAAAAAGATAAACTTGGCACTTGGCACTGCGTCGAGTACCGTCTCGGTAACACCTCTCTTACCGGTAAACTTGTGACATCAAAAGCCTCATGTAGTAGATTGCTTTAGATCGACAAATTGGAGGAGAATGAAGCAGTTGCTCTTCCTACTTCCCCTCGTTTGTTGAAGATTCCATCCTGGTTGTTGTATGTGAAATGGATGAAATAATAAGCGTGTGGCTAATGGACCCTAAATGCTATTTTATGATCGTTTTTGTATCACTCAAGGAAAATTACTAGAATACCCATAGGCAACCAATTTTTGAACACTACTTTAAATTTAGGTGATGAAGAAATTGTAAGTTCCACCCACCTCCCACGAACTAGACTTGACCTCGACTTGACCTTAGCTGGTTCATGGCATCTGGTTAATTTCTTTCATGGATTGCTATATGAGAGTTTGCCACTGATTCAAGTACGTGGTTGATAAATACTTTTGCAGGAAAAAGGCCACCGGTGTTAACTTGGCGGGGCCTCCGTTACCTCGTGTTCCTGCAGTAAATGCAAGCGTTACCCATCCCACTGTTTCTACTCCGATGGATGATCAGCGCATGCCTTTGGAGCAGAAATTAGCGCCAACCACCCTCCCCATCGTCCCCGAGGCATCCATCGCTCCCGCATCGGTCCTATCGACACCGCCACCTACGTCGCCAGTACCGCTGTTACCACTTCCCGACATCATCTCGGTGGCCTTCTCCTCACATTCTGTATCTCATCTAATAGGTCGGCGGATTCATTATTTCTCCTCTCTCTCCCGCAAGAGTCACTCATTTCCCTCCCGTCTGTGCACTGAACCTATTCCTGAGGTCGTAGTCGTTGACGAAACAGCCGGTGACTCCACGAAAGCTGGTCTGTGAGTTCACTTATCTACCCGGTCGAATTAATTTTGCGTAACGGGACTGTCTTTAATCCAAAGGAGTTCATTCTTTTATCGGAAGCGACTCATGCTACTGAGTGGCATAGACTGTAGTTCATAGTAAGGCGCGTTAAGCGTATCGTTTTGAATATCTTTATTATTCAATTCCATTTTACAGTGTGTTGTAACATCGCGGATAAATTGGATTTCTGAATTAGCTTAAAGATGCGGGCAAGGTCACCATGGTAATACATTAAGATACTTACTTCCTCAGCCCTCTATATAGGCATCACAAGGCATGGCAGTATGGAGGAAGGTTCAGTAAATATCTACTGGGGAGGCTAATAGGCATGAATGGAATGTGACTCACGAAAGACTCAAGGTGCTTCTTTTAAGCGTCGTCCTTGAGGTTCTTTGTGGCTACTCTTCTACTTAGACTCCGCGGAGAACTGTAACAGAGTAGAAGCGATCCAGAAGCCTATGCTAACGACTCAATAGTATTTTACGGCGAGCATATGCCCTTCGTCAGTCACTTTAGACAATATGGGAAGGAGAATTATCGCGCTCTTTGACTGCATTAGAAATTGTTCCCAAAGTCAACACCGTTTCGATACCACCTACTATTGTGGGTATTCGCAGGTTCAGCCATCCACAGCAGATATCTTTCTCCTGCAAAGCCCAAGTTTGGTGGTCAGGAATGTTGCTCACTTAGATAGGATTCTCTTACCTCTGCCATTACCGTAGCACCTCGATACCTACCTAATGGCACAACAAGGCATCTTAATATGGAGGAATGCTGATTACGACCATACAAATGGACTAAAAAGTTGTGAGTATAAACAAAAGGTCATGAAACCGAAGCGCTAACCGGATTTTTGAAAATAATATCATGTCGGCACAAAAAACTCGCCCATAATACCTTAATGTAACTTCTATTCTCTCCACTAAGTGTTGCTTGTGCATCGAGGTAGTAACTATCTACTTTCACGTTCGCAGCGTATTGCCTCCCCATCACAAAGTGGCTTATCCCAACTTTCTCTTAAGTTTAAGGAGAACTCCAAGTCCACCTTCCGAAGAAGCGCTGGAAGCGGAGGAAAGCCCTTCGACACCGACCCACAAAAATTGCAACAGCGCAGCTGACCCCAATAATCACTACCTCCAACTCAATGTCGGTCAGTAATGCAAGTGCCTAGCATTTTAAACGCCCTACTTAATTGTTTAAATAGCATGCTGAATTCCTCTCTTTCGCAGACAACTTAATGGGCTCGCATATCAAGAGCATTGCCAAGTACACCGTGTCGGATGCAGGAGGCGGTGCAGAGAGTGGAGGAGTGGGAGGAAGTGGTGGAGGAGGGGATGAGAGAGGAGTAGGTCTCAGAGACGAGATGCCATCAGAGGAAACAATCCACCACGTTCTGGCCTACCTCTCCAGCATTACACGCCCCTCAAAGGCCGTCAATGTGGAGAACGAGCCTTCCCGAACCAGCAACACGTTTAGACAACCGACGGTCAAGTTTTCACCCAATCCTCTCATGATTCCTCCTGATCGTAAGTTAAAGGTTTTGTACCCTTGTATTCACTAAAATCATTGATGACTTACATGTGTTTCAATTCCCCAGAGACCCAAGATGGATTCTATGTGGAACCATTGATAGTTGGCGTCAATCGACTTACCACGAAGGTAGGCTCCCAATCCTCCGAAATCAGTAGAACTTCCTCCACAAAAAAGACCTCCAGTGGAGGTGTTCAACTGCGTAGGTCAAAGCGATGCCTCACTGGCTACACCTCTCAGGGCAGCAGTAGTCTGGGTGTTTCTAGTGGTGGAAGTGGTGGTAGTGTTGGATCCAATAATCGCAGCCGTATCTGCTCGCATCGTGACAATGACGAGCTTTTTGCAGATCTCACTTATGCCCCATCTGCCTCCTCACGTCACACCACTCTTTGGCAAATGTCGAAGGGGTCCACTTGTGAACGATCTTCAGTCTCCTTCGAGACGGGAAATATGTCTATGTTGGAGGAATCATGCTCCATTGATGACGACGGGAAGAATCATAAGCGTCCGCGAACCGCTAGTGATGCAGGAACGAAGTGGAAGACTAGCATAACCGCTCCCATCAGGTTCCTTCCATCCAGCAGCCAGATTACTGACGCCGTATCACGTCCACGAGCGCGTTCACTGACTCAACAACTAGCCACAAAGCCGCTTAGCCAACCCATTGGAGTAAAGGATCTAGAAGGAATGCCCTCCAGTGACACCTACAACGGTTGTGTGCAACTAGGTTCACGTTCAAGCTCTACAACTTCGACTTCTAAAAGCATCAGACGGGCTCTGGAACACGTGCTTGGAAGACCTCGATCCACGGAAGAAAGGGATGGTCTAGTAGCTAGTACAATGTCTCCGAGTCACCATTACAACCCTAATCACCAATTACAGCAGAATAAAATCCAGCTACAAGACTCAGAGATCTACGTGGAAATGGACTTCCCACTAACGAACCCGTCGCACGTTGCCGCCGAACTGCCTCCAGAGATGCGAAATGCCCTAAGAGGCTCCCTTCTCATAACGCCATCAGACTCCCTCTCTTCAAACTCCTCCTGCCTCTCCTTTTACGGTGGTGGTGGTAGTGGTGGGAGGCAGCCGATGCCTCTATCTCGCAACACTCCGGGAGTGAGTTTCAGCGAGCACTACAGTTTTATATTTAGTCAGGCAGTGGCCTCAACGATCTCAGCTTCCAGAACACCCTTCCTAATGAAGCCTTCGAACGCAGGCACCACCACTAGCACTAACACTGCTGGCTGTGATATCCCTTCGCCGACCACGGCGCACTGAGATTCTAGCCCCGGCTTCAATATGTTTTCTCATTCTGTGATAATTCATGGATGTGTACATATTAACTCGACCAGTGTACATAGACTCAGACGTATAACTGACTCCTCTTATTAAGGCGCATTTTATCAGCAAGTATTTTTTGTGGCGGTCAGGTGGTTTAGCGCCCACTCATCCACCCTTCCCCTCCTTCCAAACACACACAACTGCCATATCTCTCCTCCCTCTATCTCCCTCGTGCGGGATGTCTGTGATGAAGAGTTTTAATTCTTCCATATTAAATTTTAACTTTGTATATACTTCTTTCTCTTTCCAATCCATCTGCCTCTACTTTGGATCGTTGCAGAAAGGGTACTGGAGTGCGAAGCAACAAAAAAAGGTTGGTTATACGAATTTCGGTAAGTCCTCAATTTGTACAAATAATGAAGGCATGTGGAAATGGTTCATTCCCAATTTTTGACGCCGGTATATGTAGATGTGGACATTGATTTGAAGAATTAAGAAGAAGTCTTGGTGATAGAGGACGAGTGCGAGGTAAAGACTTTGAAAAGGACCTAACCGAATGTTCGAGTCAAATTGGGACTTTAATTTTTGCACATTTCATACAGAAAGGCAGTAGCAACTCCAAATGTCATATTACCACTCGCAGTGGCTGCCATACATCATCTTGAGCCCCTACCGACATCATAAGTCGAGGTGTCAAGTAGCCGTGCTAATGCGTACTCAGATGAAGGCAGCAGCGTGTTCTGTGCCTTGATGATAGCGAAGCTTTGAAGCCTGGAAACAGGTGATCTGATTGAATGATGCAATCCTATCTGACCAAGACGGCGGCACATCTGTACGTTGGTGAAGATCCAGACTGTGTTAGATTCCATTTCACAGCCTTGACAGCCATTTATGTGAGCATTCATCCAGCAAGTAGTCGCACATGTGGTACTAAGACAGCCTTCCAGATCTTAGTAACGCTGAGAAGGCGAATACCATTGCACGAAGTTAAGGCGGCATCTTGTCTAGAAAGGTGGGGGTTTTCTAACTCACTTTATTACGTGCCATAAAATCGGGTTAACGATGAGGACATGAAATGGGCTGACTTGGGAAAGTTCAACTCTCCTATCAAATTTTTCTACTCCGAAGCGCTAGCTAGAAGCTGAAGGTTGATATTGCGAACTAGATGAAGTATCTACATTTTGAAATAAGTTTTTTCCTTTGTGAAAGATAAAGATTTGATTTGACATAAATTCTCTCCACTCGAAGTATTTGGTCGAGTACCACTTTTGATGACTTATCATTGATAATGCCACATGCTTACTTTCAGTGACACCGTATGACGTAACGGGGGCGCTCAACTCAACCGAATAAAAGTTTTCGTATGGGTTACGACATAACTCGTAACCCTGGCCTTCTGTAGCATTTAGGAATCTACTCAACACAATTATTCGTTTGCATTGTAATGTGCCATCCTTCACTGTTTGCACCCCACCACCTTCCTCCTTCGTCTCAGGAAATGTCGGTTGCATTTGGTGGAAGTAATTCAAGCCTGTCTGCTCCACGAATCAAATTTAAGTCGACTTCAAAACTGCAACAGTTTCTGCAGACTCTCGTCAACTTGCTCCAGCATTTGGTAAGGTCACGATTGCTGAATGTACCGAGAAGAATGCAATGGCTTGGAGGATGTGATTTTTGTGATAAGTCAATGGAAGCTGATGCATTGCTCCCAAGAGGACCCTCCATTACTGCTCATGTAGAAATGCCTGCCAACACTGCTACGTAGGTTTGGAAGAAACAAGTCAGGAATAACGTTCAACGAAGTCGTTGAAGAAGTTAAGCACACAGGTTTGATCCACCCATTCATCAGGGACTATCGTTCTGTTCTTCACTT